TTTTATTACTAATAAAAAATCTTTTTATGTAAAAAATTTTTTTAAATATTTTCATAAATTTACTATCGAAAATAACGTAATTATTGTTTATTTTTAATTTTTTTAAAATTTATAATTAAGTAATAATCAGCAGCAATTAACAACATAATTACTCACAATTTTCAACAATTATTTTTCTTTTTAAATGTATTTTTTAAATTCATTTATTATGTTTTTATTTTAGTTTTTCCTGGTTAAAGTTACGTTATTTTATTTTATTTTATTTTGTGTGTATAAGTAAAATAATTAGATAAAAATATTTTGGTTATGTAACATTATATCTCTAGAATATTTATGAATAAATTTCCTGTCGGAGTTACACTCAGCTTATTCAGAATAATTTTTTTTAATTTAGATAACTGAGAACCTCCGTTTTACGACGTAATTATTTTCTGAAAAATCCGTCGTAAATTAAACTTTGATTTCATATTTGTTCAGTGTCATAAGCTGAGATTAGGTGTGGTATCAACTATATAAAATAAAAATTACAAATGACTTATAAAAATATATTTCATAATTATATGAAAATTAGCGGTCGTAAAGCGGGGGTCTACTGTAAGTGCTGTTAATACACGAATGTAAAAATTCTGAAAAAAAATAAGGAAAAAAAAGTTAAATTCTAAAAATAAAATGCGAAGAAATACATCTGACAGATGTTATTTCTCACATAATAAAACATCAATTTAATAAAAATAAAATTTTGTTTAACAGTAATTATTACAATATGGTTATTAAAGAATTTTCAATTTTATTTTAAATTTTTATACATGTTTACATATAAATTTATTGAATTATACAGTAGAATCTCTGTAACCTGACCGACGGGTGTCGGATTACTAGATTTTGTACACGTTTACAGTACATCAGTCTCTCTCTCTGTTGCATACTGTGACAGATTACTGAATGTGTCGGACTACAGAGTCTCTACTGTATATACGAACCATATAAAACCACATATGTACAGTATATAAAGAATCACTGTACTATTTCTTATATCTAACGTGTTATATACTGTAAATAAGCAATAGTACAGTGGGTACCTTAACGAGCTAGTGGCATACGAATGGTGTCACTACAACGAGCCATTACAGCATCAAAGATGTTTTTTTTATAAGTATAAACGAAAAGATTTAATACCTGCATTTTTTAAATAATAAAATACACAAATATAATAAAAACTATAGAAATAATTTGCATTTTTAAATGTGTTTTTTGAATTTTTATAGTACAGCCGCACATGTATACATCGAATAGAAATTTTTATACTTGTATAACTCTATAATATAAATACAGCAATAATAATCATAATATTAAGTTAATATACGTGTACTACAGAGACATGTGTCAATGAAGCTTAATATACATGCCATTCACACCATGGAGGATAGATTTCCGGGAAACAAAAATTACTTAAAATTTTCGCCACTAGTTGAAAAATGGCGCTGCATAAACGAAAATAAAAATGTTATTTTATACCGTGTGTTCAATATACGCGATATCTATGCCGGTTATGTGTCGGAAGCGTAGTATGACGTAATTAATTGTGGCACCAGGCATTTTGGTGTTCGGAAAATTGGAGGAGTTATATTGGTCTTCGGCTGAGACACACTGTTATGGCTCAGGCACGTTGTCTTTTATCGTAGTTTTCGTAACATTACATCACTGTACCTGTTCTTGAAGCGCTATATTTTTGCCTAGTGGTGAAAATTCGAATTAACTTCTTTCTCATAAATCTACTCCCCCACGATGTGAGTATATATATCAAGTTACATCGATATATATATCCATTAAAATCGGCACCAGTGGCTTTAAATAGGGTCAGTTTAATCGTAAACATATTGCAATTTATTTTAATAAATTTTCGAGATATTTTTAAAGAAAAGTTTAATTTCAATATTGCATATTAAATAACATACGATTAATACGTGAATTGATGTTACCTGTAAAATATATAATGCAGTCGAACCTCTGAACAACGGTAATTGACGAGAATATAAAAAATGTCCGTTGTTCGGAGGTTCGTTCGAACTGTATAATCTTTATTCTCTGTAGAAATACTTAAATAAAAAATAAAATTTTGTGGTTCCTCACTGTATACATCTCACCATCAAAATTACCAAATTATTGATTATATTAATTAATTTAAAATATACTGTAATGATTATTATTTTTATAACTTAATCCAAATTTAAATTCAGAAAAACAGCATGAATAAGTTTAAATTATTTAAATGATTATTTACTCAATATTCTTCTCCAGAAAACTTTAAGGAATTATATTATATTTATTATTAGAAACTAATACTTTAGTTATTCTTTAACGTGATCTCTTTTAGTCTGTATTTAATAAAATTGTTATTTTTCTACAGCAGAAGTTAAATCGTGTAAACCGAACCATTTTCGTTGTCAAGATGGAACTTGTATCGACGAAAATTTAGTTTGTGATGGAGAATTTCACTGTTCGGATGGTTACGACGAATATCCTAATGTCACGTGTCGTGAGTATTCTATACAATATTTTAATTTTAATTTTGTATAAATTTTTCAAGTATGAAAATTTAAATATATATATTTGTAAATTAGCCGATTTAGGTTCTGCTTGCGGCTCAGAAAATCTGATGTGTCAACAAATTTGTCAGAGTACTTCACTCGGAGATAGATGCTCTTGCAGAGAAGGATATAAATTATTATCGGATAGACGTTCCTGTACGGGTAAGTTCGTACAATAGTTTAATTTATAGAATAAATTTGAATATACCGCAGCTAATTAGATTTAAATTTTCAGATATCGATGAATGTCAAGAATACATGACGTGTAGTCACATATGCCATAATACGGTGCCAGGTTTTAAATGTGAATGTGCAGACGGTTATAAATTGAAATCTGATCAACAACATTGTAAAGCATCAGGTAAGCGATATATTAATTAAAGATGTGCAAGATGGACCAGAAGTTTCCGTAAACCCCAATCAATTCGGCTCTACTTACAACTGTAATTAATTTGAATTACTTCATGATTACACTTCGAGTGGATCCGTTCGTCTCGATAATGTTTCTAGAGTATCATTATATGTAGTGTTATGTGCTACGTAAATTCGAATTGATTTCGAGTGGGTATCAGTAAAGTACAGTATATTGGCTTTTCGATGTAATATACAATCATTCGTTTACTTTATTAGAAAATATGAAACTTTACTTCAAACTTAGTATTTCGTATAGTTACGTAGATCTTTAATTAAAAAAGTGTAGTTAAATTTGTACGTTTATGAATTAAAAATTTAAAAAAAAATACAGCAGAGTTGCTGAATATTTTTTAATTTGGAGAGCCATTTTGGAAAAATCTTAAAGACAAAAGAATTTAAAACTTATACAATAAAATTTTAGTCTTACCCAAGCCGAGATGTGACCCCTCTATCTCCTCGCTCCCTTAAGTTTCATACTCCAAAATTTAATAGCATCAATTTCCCTTACACATATTTTACCATGCCAAATTTCGTTTCGTAACCTTCACCCCATCCTGAGATGTTAAATTAAACAAAATAGACACCAATACACCAAGAAATTTTTTCCTGTTTTTTGAGATTTAAAAATTAAATTTCTCGTGTCGTCTAGTAAGATTACGAAGCAAAATTTCATAAATCACATAAATAAAAATGTTTTAAAGCAATTTTTGCGTTTCAGGGGTCTCAAAAGTTCAAAATTTACAAATACTCGCAGGCTCAAATTGACACGATTACGATACTTTCCCATGTTATAACAGCAGAGAAATTAATTTGAAACCTTATATTCTTCATCTTAAACAAAAAAAATATATGAAAGTTAATTGTATCTTAAAGTCTAAAAATCTCCTATTGATATATCTATTAAATTTTTCTAATTATTAAAACTAATTTTAGGTCCCGATCCATACATCTTCTTCGCCAACAGAGTGGACCTCAGACTCATGGATCTACGTAAATCAGAATACAAACCAATCGTCACCGGCCTCCAAAATGCAATAGCTCTGGACTACCATTACGAAAAGCAATTATTATTTTGGTCCGACATAACCAGCGATTCCATTCATTGTGCCTTTATTAACGGAAGCGGATTGAGATCCATAGTGTCCGTTGGACTAGTGAGTCCCGGTGGATTAGCAGTGGATTGGATAGGAGACAAAATCTTATGGACTGATTCTGGAATGTCTAGAATAGAAATAGCCAAATTGGACGGAACAATTCGTAAAGTTCTCTTCTGGAAAAATCTAGAGAAACCGAGAGCCATCGCTTGCAATCCTCAAGAAAGGTAAATTTATTTCCTTCCATTTAATATATTTTATTTTGTAAAATATGTATTATTCCTATCGCTTTGAAGCACGATATACTGGACAGATTGGGGAAGTAAACCGAGAATCGAAAGAGGTTTCCTGGATGGAAGCGGGCAAGAAATTATTATCGACACTTCAATTTTTTGGCCAAATGGTTTAACATTAGATTATGCTGGGAAAAGAATTTACTGGACGGATGCCAAGCATCATTTGATAGAGAGTGCAAATTTGGATGGAAAAAACAGAAAGATGATTATCCAGCAAGGTTTGTATTTAATTTTCATTTTTAATAATATAATTATTTAGCTAAATTCTAATCTTTTTTTACCATTTTAGCTCGTTGTTAATATAGATAAACGTTTAAAAAATATAATTTTGATAAATAAATATATAATAATTATAACTGATTTGTATTTTCTCAAACATTACCTAGAATCGTTTATTGTGCTTCAATTTTCAAATTTCAGACCTATACATTCTCATTGTCGTCAGTCTATCCGTCTGTCTTTCCTTAATCTCGAGAACGGTGTTAGATATATGAAAATCGATGACAGTAATAGAAAGCTTAAGGGTTGGAGGTCCCAATTAATTATATAGGAACTTCCAGTCTAGGCCAGAAGTTAAATTAAAATATGATTAAAAATTGCTGCCCGGCATTGTGACGACGTCACAATAAGTAATTGCTAGTTTCGGATATAAAATTAATATCGATTTCTCTCACATTATAAAGTATAAATATCTAATTTTCGTGCTTATTTTTTTTTAACTTTAAATCACAAATGATTACTTTTATTCTTAACAGTATTTTTGTAATATAGAAGGATGATTTATAAGCAAGTATTTTTGGTGAATTATATTTATATCATCTTGAAAATTGATTTATTAACATTACTTCCTACTTTCAGGTCTCCCTCATCCATTTGCTATAACAGTTTTCGAAGACACTTTATTCTGGACTGACTGGAAAACCAAGAGCATCCATTCTGCCAACAAATTAACAGGAAAAAATATGATCACCCTCCATCCCAAGCTTCACTTTCCAATGGATATAACGATTTATCATCCTCTAAGGCAGCCCAACAGTATTATTATTATTATTATTTTTGTTTTTGTAAATTTATTATAGATTAATATAAGATATTATATATAAAATTATGTATAATTATAAACTATTTTTCTAGTAAAAAATAATTGCGAGCCGGATAACAACTGCAGCCATTTATGTTTATCCAATAACTCTTCCTATCGGTGCGCTTGTCCTATTGGATTATCACTAAGCCACGACCTGAAAACCTGCGCGGAAAGTATGTTATATTATTAAATTATAATAAAATAACATCACTTATATGGTTTTTATAAGGTTTAAAATATAATTTAACCCGTTTTAAATAGGGTTAGAAGCGTTTCTTGTGTTCACTAGAAGGAGCGACATACGTATGATGTGTTTGGAATGTGACGAAAGTATCGACGTGGTGTTACCATTTCGTAATATAAGCAGTGCAGTCGGTCTAGATTGGGATAGTAACAGCGATATCGTTTATTGGTCTGACGTTACTGATAACACTATCAGCCGTGCTCAGTGGAATGGTAGCAATCAAGAGGTCAATTGCTTGACAAATTTCTAAGGCTTAAAAATAGTTTAAATTGAGTCTATAAAATTATTTATTTATTTTTAAAGAATATTTTTTAAATATATATTTAAAAACTTTTTATTCTTTTCGTATATAGTCGAATCTCCTTTATACGTTTCTCAATTATACGTTATATATTTACCGCACCGTTATAAAATTAAGGCCGTATCGAACAGTAATAAACATTATACCTGGCGCCCTCGATTTAACGTTAATTACGAAAAAATTAGACTCGTTGTACAGTGTTAATTTGTATCGCGCCGTACTTTCGTGACGATTATATTCACTTGTAAGTACGATTTTCTCATTTATATGATATTTTTCTTAGTTTTGTTGAAGAACGTATAAGCGGGGGTTCGACTGTAATATCGGGGGATCGTAATTAACGTACCCCTATTCAACGCTGTTTAGAGTGATATTTAAAAAAAAATAATGTCAGTTAACTGATTTATGAGCTTTGTAAATAAATAATAAATAGAAAAATTCTTTATTTTACATATTCTATTTACATTTTTTATAGATTATAATAAAGACAAATTTGGAAAGTCCAGCGGGTTTGGCTTTAGATTGGGTTACTTTAAAGTTGTATTGGACAGATTCTGGAACCGATAGAATAGAAGTATCCAATTTGGATGGATCCATGAGAACGATTTTGATTTGGAACAATTTAGATAAACCAAGAGATATTATTGTGGACCCACTCGGACGGTGAATTGTTTCTGTCGTCACTAATTAATTATTAACGTTTTCTAAAACCAGTAAAACCTGTCCAAAACGGAACCTGAATAAAGCGGAAAAGAAGAAAAATCATTCGCGACAGAGCTATTTTCTATGTTAAAAAGAAACCTGTTAAAAGCGGAAACTTGCCTAAGCGGAAAAATTATTCGGTACCGTTCGATTCCTGTTTACGCAGGTTTTACTGTACATTATTCAACATTATATGGAAATTAAAATTATTTCTGCTGTTAAAAATATCGTATTATTAACAATTAACTTAGTTTCAACTCTTTTAGAATAACACGAAACCATTGTTTAGTTTAATTTAGTATTAAACTTAATGTAAAATCTGTATAAACCGAAATCGTCCAGTACCGAATATTTTTCCTGTTTGTTGGGTTTTCGTTTTAAACAGATTTTTTTTTTAACATAGAAAATCGCTCCGTTTTAAAGAGTTTTTCCGTTTACACAGGTCTAGACGTTTTATTCAGCCTCCGTTTTGGAAAGGTTTTAATAATAATATAATAAATAAAAATTACTGAAAGCTAGAAAAATTTATTTCTGCTTTACCAGCTAATAGTTTTATTTTTAAGTCAGTTATGATGCAAGCAATACGTCAGGTGTACGTAGCAAAATGGTAGTTTCTTTCCTTTCTTTAAAAGAACGATTTCTGTAATTAAGCAAAGTGAAACTGGAGAATCACAGCGACAGTTGGCAAAGGAATTTAACTGTGGGAAAAAAATTTCATTATTGGAAATAATAGCTTAGATTTGTCTCAGTGAATGGGGAAGCAAACACAAATCTCACATCCTAAGGCAAAATACTTTATATGCAGTTTGTCAAATGGCATATTAATAGTTTCCGTATTCGAGACACTCGTATAGGTTCTTTTGCTATCACGATACGAGGAATCTAAATTGAGATACATATGCTGAAAAACGTATTATTCAACAATTTACGCTATGCATGACATAACATGTCTATTCTCTGATTTGCATGTGAAGACATATCTGTTGCTTTCTTGATGTACAATTGTCAAGATCAATGAATTCTATTTATTTGCTGCACCGCAGTTTTCATGTTGATTGTAGGCTGTAAAAAAAAATATTAAGTTTTATTTGGAAGACCACCTCTCCAGACGACCATTTTTGGTACAATTTTGCAAGAAAACGACATGTAATTTCAGTGGTGCGTTATAGATTCATGGGGCTTCAGGAAAATTTGAATTAGGAAGCTCCATGTACGGTGTTAACTTTAAACATTTTTGTTCCGGAAATTTTGAGGGAATCCCCCTGTATCCTCGTTCGTTTTTTTAAAGCGACCTTCGAGCTGTGCCAGTGCACTCTGTGCCTACACCAAATCGGCAATCTACGGTCCCCAAACATGGCCCAAATTTAAATTATTATATTCTTACTAGAGTACAGTCGACCCCCCTATAACACTGTTGATAATTCCGTTTTATATGAATTCCATGTTGTAAGAGTCACTTAGATTTTACAAATACATGAGCCGTTTACAGCCCGGCACACGTATTTGTAAAATCTAAGTGACTCGTACAACATGGAATTCATATAAAACGAAATTATCAACAGTGTTATAGGGGGACGACTGTAATGAGTTTATAAAAGATTGGTTTGTGGCCTCTGTTGGTGGGGCCTCAGGCAATTTCCTTTTTTGCCCGTAAAATAACGCGCTTGTGTGTGATTTCTATAAAAAGAACAGAAATTTCTGAATTTTACTTCAAACCACTTTGGCACAGAATAATGTACATTTCTGTACGATTGCAAGCGAACAAAAATTTTCCCTAAGAGAAATTTCACTAAGTTTTTTTGAAAAAAAACCCGAAACTTTTTAAAATAATTATTTGGCTTTTTATTGTTATTTTTCTTACTTTACGTAGTCTGTTTACAGCTATATGTATTGGACTGATTGGGGCCAAGGTCCGAAAATAGAGAGAGCAGGAATGGACGGTTCTGCAAGATTAATTCTCGTTGAAAACAATCTCACGTGGCCGAATGGATTAGCTATTGATTATGAAAATGAAAGGCTTTATTGGACAGATGCTGGAACGAAAACAATCGAGTATAGTAATTTAGATGGAAAGAACAGACAGGTATATATGGGTGCTCATTAAAATCTTAATTAAGATTTCATTTAAAATTTTTCTATTTATGATAGGTAATTATACAAGAAGACGAATCGCATCCTTTTGGCCTTACTTTGCACGATAATACAATTTATTGGACAGATTGGAAGAAGAAAAATATCCAAAGTGCGAATAAATTGACAGGTGGTGAAAGAAAAGTATTGATTGAAGGATTAAATAATTTAATGGACGTTCATGTTTTCCATCGAAATAGATTAACAGGTTACTTAATTTTTAAAAAAAATAAAAATATTTGAACAAAGATTTAATAAATCGCCAATTTTTACAGTGGAAAATCCTTGCAAGATAAACAATGGAGGATGTAGTCACTTATGCTTGCTCGCTCCAACTGAAAGAAGTTACGTCTGCGCTTGTCCAACCGGAATATTGCTAAATGATAAACAGACTTGTATGACAGGTAATATTACATATTTATATCTGAATCGTGACTATATTATTAGTAAGTAATTCACCTTTACTTTACAGGAATGCAAAATTTCCTGATTGTTGCGAGGAGGACAGACATTAGAATGATTTCGTTGGATGTGGACTATTGGGCTGATGTGATCCTTCCTGTGAAGAGTGTGGAGAATGCAATTGCAATCGATGTGGATAGGAAAGAATGTATTGTATAAATTATTTCAATCGGAGTTACATATTCGATAGTTTCACTTATGGTATACGTATTATTTTAGCCTGGATATATTGGTCCGATGGCATGCAAGACAAGATTGAAAGAGCCGATTCGTCAGGAAATAAGGTGGAGAAAATTGTTTCTTTGGGTTTGGATTCCGTTAATGGTCTAGCAATAGATTCTTCTGGAAGAAAATTATACTGGACCGATACCGGTAGGAGTAGAATAGAAGTTGCAGAGTTGGATGGCAGAAACCGAAAAGTACTCATTAAAGATAATCTCGATAGTCCAAGAGCAATTGTTCTTTCTTACGAAATGGGGTAAACGTCTAGGCATTGAATACTTATAAATTATATTTAAAAAATGTCTGATATTTGAAACATTTTCAGAGTTATGTATTGGACAAATTGGGGTAACAAGCCTACTATCGAAAGAGCGGATATGGATGGTTCTAACAGGATAATTATTGTTAGTGATAATCTAGGTTGGCCTAACGGCTTGACCATAGATGTATCAACTTCTTCTTTAATCTGGGCTGATGCGAGGAATCATGTATGTGTAGTAAAATTAGTAATCGCTGCAATTGTGAAAAATGCGCGTATAGGAAAAAATATCTTCATTTTCAGGTTATCGAGAAATCAGATTTTAATGGTAACAATCGTCAGATATTGATGAGAGATGTTCCTCATCCGTACGGTTTAACTGTGTTTGGGGAATTTATCTATTGGACCGATTGGGAAACCAGAGCTGTTCAGAGAGTAAATAAATTTACAGGAAAAGATATCTTTACAGTCTGTGATAATCTCGCCGGTTTAATGGATATTCATTCCATATCTATGAAGAATACCGGTAAGAATATAACTTATATATATCATTAGACAGGAATGTATGTATATTTTGTACGTTCTTAATGTTAAAGTTTCATTGTATAAAATTTTGTACAGAAGAAAATGTTTGCGGAAATAATAATGGAGGATGTAGCAATCTCTGTTTAAGAAATCCTAAAGGATATTCGTGCGCGTGTCCTACAGGATTACCTTTGCAAGAAAACGGTTACACCTGCGAAGAAGGTAAGAGAAAACAAAATTAATAAAATTTGAGTTTAATTTTTAATTATTATATAAAGGAAATTTGAATTTTTTCCCCTCCAGTCCCTTCCGCTTTCTTAATATTTGCAAGTAAATCGAATATATATCAGATCTCAATGGATACAGATGACAACAGCGATATATTTTTACCGATTACTGATGTATATAATATTGTAGCCATTGATTTTGATTATGAAGAAAGTTATATTTATTTCACTGACGTACGTCTAGATGTTATCAGGTTTGTACTCTATTGATTTCTTCATTCTGAATAATAAACTGAAATAAAATCAGTCGGTATTGACGTAATTTACAATCAAAGTATTATTTTTTTTATTTATAAAATCTACGGTAATTAATTATTGTTGCTATTTAGAAGGCCTAAACAAGTCATCCATAATGGCTGTTGGCAGATTTCTGTGTTAAATATACTGCGGTATTCTCATTGGAATGCAAGAAAAATTTAGATTTTTGTATTATTAAATTTAAAATATGTTTTAAAATGGAAAAATTTAAGTATTTGTTATATTTAAAGAAAAATCTTTAAAGAAACTAATGATAAATTTTGTAGGAGGTGCCATTTTAACGGAAGTAATATGGAGACATTGATCAGCCACGATCTGATAACAGCTGATGGACTGGCTGTCGATTGGGTAGCAAAAAATCTTTATTGGACAGATACAGGTAGAAACGTTATCGAAGTATCTAGAGTCGATGGAACATCAAGAAAAATTCTTATAGATTTGGATTTAGGAGAACCACGCGCAGTTACATTGTTTCCCGAAAAAGGGTAGATTTCTCCTTTACAATTTCAATTACGTACAGTTAATAAAAATCGTATTCATTTGTATTTTTACCTTAATTTATAGTTATATGTTTTGGACCGATTGGGGAAAATTACCGAAAATTGAGAGAGCTTTTATGGATGGCACCCAAAGAAGAGTGATTATAGCCACAGATTTGGGATGGCCCAACGGCCTTACTATAGATTACGAAATGGAGCAAATTTATTGGGTAGATGCACACTTGGATCGTATAGAAACTGCTGACCTGAATGGAAAAAATAGAATTCAGTTAATATACGACGTGACTCATCCTTTTGGATTAACACTGGTTGTTTTTACTTCGTATCGATTTGATTCTTTATTTTTATTTATTTTTTACTATATTCAGTATTATATTTTAACAGTATGGCCCCTTTATATATTGGACCGATTGGCAAAGTAAATCTATAGAGAGAGCAGAAAAAGAAAATGGCAAGAACAGGACTATAATATTGGATAACGTGATATATCCCACGGAAATAAAAATGGTTACTTCGAAAAGGCAGAGTGGTAAGTTAAAATATTACAGAAAATAATATTTACTATTAAAGTCTTAGCAAATTATTTTATTATTTTGAAGGTACAAACATGTGTCAGATACAAAATGGAGGATGCAGTCATTTGTGTCTTCATAGAGCAGATACATACGTTTGTTCTTGTCCAACATATCCAGATCCAAATCCCTGTTCTACAAGTATGTTCTTCTTTTAATTTCTTTTGAACGTGTTTAATCACAAGGCAATTTATTGAAAATTAAATAGTTCCTAGAGAAATAATTGTTGAGCAACCCGAAGATTATGAAGATACCAGGATTACAGTTTATCATACCAATACAACAGTTGGGTAAGTTTATTCGGTTAAATATATATATATATTCTCTTATAATTTTATATGTAAATTTAGTTGTAGAATCTTCATAAAATTTCATTAAAGTATTTACTATTTTAAATATAAATCTGAATGTTACATTAATTATTTCTTAGGTGTGCAGATTCCAGTCTTCAAAACGAAAGATGCCATTATATAGGATTTTCTTTTGGAGGTAAATATTTTCATTCATAAGCTTGGAGAAATACCAAAACACGCTTTCTTTCTTGAAAAAAAGACAATCGTTCTTATAGGGTGGCTCAAAAGGGGTCTTTCAAATACAGTTTTCTTCGTAGCGACTTAATATACAGGGTGCAGGTGCAGGGTGGTATAATTAAACAGGAAGTGTTTAGAGCTCTGTGTAAAAAGAACTAATGGACCAAATGCAACTACATTTGTTGTACATTTTCTTGACCGAGAGGATTTTTGATTGATGCAAGAAAATTTGTTGATAAACTTCTGGATTCACTCGAGACTAAACGCGGTTTGATGTTCAATACGTCATTCAAGTATAAAGACTATACTTTGAATGATGATGCCGGTCGCCAAGAATCGTCGATCATCATCAGAGCTATGAATTACATGAGAAATGATTTCTGCTAAACATGGTCTCAAATTCCTTCCTGTCGATTGAGATGTCTTGTAAGATTATACTCGATACAAAATTTTTCTCACTGTAGGATAGAGCATGTCCAATCGTAGTAATATTGCAAGCATACTACCTTGAGAATTCTCAATTTGCTGCTCTACTAAGGCGGTTGTAACTTCCTCCATTTTCATCAATTCCACCCATTTCTAGTTTCACTTTGAAATTTCCAGTTTCCTTGAAACTTGATAGTAAAGTTTAACCAAATATGCGCGGTCGTGTAATGGAAACACCACGACTTGCCACTAATTCACATTGAACACGCTATACAACTCTATAAACACTAAAGTTACTCACTCTACAACATCTGTAATATGCAAATCGCATCAACATTAGCGCCAAAAATCAGAAATTTTGGAATTAAATTTATTTGCAAAATCGAAATTCTATGGCCAGGAAAGCATGCAAACGAAATTTAGTTGTATTTGTCCATTAGGTCTTACTACACAGAATTCTAAAAAGTCCCTGTTTAATTATAACCAAACTGTTATATATGGTTTTTCATTTTAATGTTTGTCCATTTTGATTTATACCCAGCAGCACATGCCATATTTTCTAGTATTCAAGATTTGTCGAACTATCAACAAGCTTTTCGAATAAACAATTAACTCAATGAGAAGATTATGAACTAAAGAAAAAAATTTTTTCAAAATTTCAACTCTATCATTTCTATCTTTTATGAAATATTTAAGGAATTGAATTTACAGTTTTGTATTTGATCCCATTGAATTTACATTTCGTATATATATATTTTTATTTTATCGTAAAATTCATTAAACAGATTTATTCAATCAATGAATCTTTACCCAACAAATCGATGACAATATTTAAAATTTTATCTTTAGCTGTGAATATTTGAAAATTTTCCTAATAATGTATTGCAATGTTACTGCATTGTTTATTTATTTATTGATTTATTTGAAGATTTTGCATGCATTTTCAGGAAAATAAGATTTCTTAACTGTAAGTTATTAGTAGAAATTATAATAAATAAAACTCTTAATTTAAAACTATTAACTGACTTTTGGGCCACCCTATTTATATCGTACAACGACTGTTAATCTATCTGATCAATACAAATTGCTTTAAATTATATTCCAAACATATTAACTTCATTGTTAGTTAAGAATTACAGTAGTTAAATTACGAGATGTTTAGTAAATTCTTCTTCTTTTTTTAATTTTCGAATTATTAATTAAATTAACATTCCATTTTCGATCGATATTTAGTTATTTAATTAAGTTACTTCAAATCGTCTTCGGAATTTATCATAAATTTAAACTTTAATGAGAATTTATCGGATACTTGATACATCTTAAATATTTGTGAATTCTGATTGATATTTGCGGATGATTTTGTTTTAACATTTTATCTAATTAATTATAAATAGATATCTAATGTCTTTTAACGTAAATTTACTTACAGATCCTGCTTTACAGAGTGCCTATATTGCTCTCAGTGTTGTAGTCGTTGTGTTAGTTTTCACTTTAGCTGTTGCTATTGCAATATGGAAAAGGTTCGTATGTTAAATTATCTTCGTTTTTATGTGATGTACACAGAAATTTCCCTCTTTCACAGCTTAATACAGTATTTGTTAAAAAGCCAGCTTGGGTTGCAGTTTTCAAATTGCAAACCTATGCATTCTCACTGTCTTCCGTCCGTTTGTCCGTCTGTCCTTCGTTAATATCGAGAACGAAGTTAGATACAGGAAATCCCCGTATAACACGGCACTTCTATAGCACGGATTTACTCTAACACGGTTCGAGAATTGGTACCATCCCCCGTATAACACGGTACTTTTATAGCACGGATTCACTCTAACACGATTCGAGAATTGGTACCATCCCCCGTATAACACGGTACTTTTATAGCACGGATTTACTCTGACACGGTTCGAGAATTGGGTAAAACACTCGTACAACAGGAAATGTAATAAATTTTTACATACTTAAGTAATAATAGTTCACGAAAATAATAATTTTCGTGAACTTTTAGTATTTAAGTATGTAAATTTTCTCTTCTCGCCTTCTGTCGATACACGTGGTCCTTCTCGAAACTTGTTTCAATGTTGCCAGATCGCGACGCTTCTGCTTCTGATGTTGCCGAATGTTTTTCTTTTATTCCATACTTGCTTTATTCTTCATAAGTGCTTAGCACCATATAAGGAAATTTATAAAGACCTTTTAACTAGAAGCAAGCAATCTAAAATTACATACATTTTGCAAAAGGTAAAGCATGGATCTGAAGATAATGCAGAAAAATGCTCAGAGGATAAGGATAACTTGCCAAAAAGAAAACGCTCTCGGTTAATTAATAGTGTTTTTAGTGATGACGAAGAAAACATTGTTTAATTTATATTAATATGTATCACTTAAAAAAATTTTAATGAAGATATTTATCTTAATTATGAAAATATACTAGCATGTTTTTTAATTTTTGGAACCTAACCCTCCTTTTCGTATTAGTTCTTTGTTTCGTATAACACGGATTCGCATAACACGGCAATTTTTTGGAACGTAACTACCGTGTTATACGGGGGTTACCTGTATATGAAAATCAATACCGGATATGGATGGCTTTAGATTAATTATATATAGATTTCCAGTTTGGACCGGAAGTTGCGTGATTTTTTAAAATTAAAATATGACAAAAATTGTAGCTTTGGCATTGTGATGTCACAATAATATACATTCGATTTTTCCTGTAAACACAATCTTAACTACATAATACATAGAATCATGCAGAGATGACCAATAAAAATGAAGTACAGTCGAAACGGTAGCCATTTTTTTTTCTTTTCTTTAAGGAACGTTGAACAAAGATGCTTACAAAACAACCTCCAAACAACGGTCACTCCCTATAACAGCCACGTTATACGTTCTTTATCAGTGGCCGTCGTTCAGAAGTTTAACTTCGATAGAAAATTCAATACAAGTCGTAAAGCGGGGGACTATTGTTTTACTTTTCTATTTTAAACTAGAAATTTAATTTACAAGTTTACAAGTTTATTATCAACCAAAATATATTGTATATAGCTTATTATTTCTTCTCCGTGTAGTAATTTATATAATTAATATGTCATATTTTAAGTAATTTTAATTTATAATTGATCGAATGAACGTCAGGTTTCAAGAAAGTCATCAAAAGAGAATCAATAGAAGTAAATGATGAAATTTTCATTCAAAAAAAAAAAGAAGAAAAATCAAACGGGCGGCCATGTTTATACGTCCTTTAATAATAAAATAATATCATCATCATTACATTTTAATGTACAGAAGATGGTGTGATGACATTCCTTTCAACTTTATGTAACAAAAAGATAACACTCAAACCACATTGGCCATACTTTAAAATATGTATTTCAATCAAAGTGACTGTATCGATTTTGATCTTGAAAACAGAGGAGACACGATAAATTATTTATAACATATATAAAGAAATTTATTTTCAGTTTCTTTATTATTCTTTCATGTATAAATAATTTATCAATTTAATATTCTGGTATCATTTATATTACAGTGGCAAATTTTTTTAAATTTAAAGAAAATTTAATTCGATTAACAGAATTTTTATAAGAAAATTAAACCTCAATTTATTTAAATTAGTAAAGATTTTCGTTTAATATTAATTTAACTCTCTCTTCACTTACAAATAATTATATTAAAAAATTACTCAGTAAATTCCCGCTTTACGACGGCTCGTTTATACGACCGTATAAAGTTTTATAATCAAATAAAATGCTGTATTTCTTTTCTTATTTATCTCTGTGTTGTATTTTATAGTTTAAACCCATTCACAGACCTTAAGCTCGTTTTAAAACACGATTTAAGAGCAGGTAGAACGGCTCGCTTTACGACGGTGTTCTAAAAATCAATTGCAGTGTACGCTAGTCTACTGTATATTTGTATACATACAAGTTTATTGTTATTTATAAAATCTAAAACTGAAACACTTAAAATATAAAATACCTATTGGGGTTTTTGGAAAAGTAATTATTAACCTAACCGTCGTAAAGCGAGTCATATATTTCATAAGTGTAGGGTCATAAATCGAGGTCATATTTGGATATTAAATTTTAATTTTATCAAACAGAGAGACGATCAACAAAAATTACGACACTTAAATAACAGAAATCTTTTTTTTTTTCCGATTGCAATACAATAGATAGATTCTTTATTCCACCAATGAAAGAGCACCATTTATTATTATTATTATTTTAGATTACTTTGTCGTTGATACTGCAATTTTTGGATGTTAATGTGTTACAAAGCTTTTTATAGAAAATTAATCAATAAAGAAAAAGTAACCAGACATTTTTACGATAAACAAGCTTAAGGAAAAAGATATTAATGATTTCAATTGTCCCAAGAGATCACTTTAAGTTGTTCTTGGGTTCGCGCTTGTCACTCCATGGGTTTTATTCACGTTAGTGACACTTAAATAAGGATCAGTTTTTCATAGAAAGACCTTCTGGAAGGCATCACCCTTCATGTGTCACATTGTCGTAAATAAATAAACCTAGAAAGGTGCAACATGTAAAAGATGCAAGTTATAAATTAAAGCTACGTGAACACACTTCCTATAAGATTAATGATTTATTTATATAAAAAATAACGTTGGTTATGAGCAATTTTTAATAAAAATTTCATATATTTTTTTCCTCCTCTACTCTAAGTATTATTACAAAAAAATCTTATTAAGCATTTTCTACTTCATTTCCTTTCTTAGATAGAATTTTATTTAATTTTCTTGAAGCTTCCAAAACATTCCACACGTTTATGTTTATTGAAAAAGTTATATTTGACAAGAGTTTATTGGGAAATTTTTTTTATAAAAATTACTCTTCATTTCCAGATTCTTCCCATCAATATAATTCTTCGTTCCATAACTTTTGCAATGTCTGCTCACATGGATGATAGAATTCATTAATTTTCACCCAAAATGAATGTTAGAACGATGGAAATTCTTCAATGTAGACTAGACTACATCTAAATCACTATCAAAGTAGAAAATATTTTCTAATTGATGGCATAGCAGCATAAACGATTAATCAATATAATTAAATACTATTAATGCTGAATCAGTATTAACTGAAGTAATATAAATGAAATAACGAGAGACAAATTGCTCAATAATAACCAATTTAACGGCATCAATGTCTCATTTTATGATATTATCGTGAAGATTTGTTTTCAATGTCACGATAATATCATTGTTATTGATTTTATTATGTATATAAATTAGGAATGAATTGATACAAGTGAAATATATCACACTTTTTTAAGTAATAGAAATTAAATTATATGAAAAACAATCAAAAAGTATATCAATTTTCTAATTATTATGCTCTAATTCTTTATTGGATCATCATTTTTGGGGTGCTCTTTCATAATGGAAATCAACTGGAGGTTTTGGAAAGAAAATATATTGGGAATATCCCATAGAATAATTATTTTGGGGGAGACTTTTCTAGTTTAATCGTATTCCAATTAATTATTTCATATTAAAATTATATTTAATTGTAATATAATAGATATTTTACAGAAAAATACTTGATTAAAAAATTTAAAATTAAAAATTGACAGAAGACGACGAGTACAAGAGACGGATCCAACTATAACATTTACAAATCCAACGTACAGTAATACGTGTCCTGGAATGGTATTAGAGAAAAAATCTTATGACTGGGATTCACAGAATCATTACAGTAGAAGAGTAAGTAAATTAGGGATGCTTTCTCTCTATTAATTTTATTAATGATTTTTTTCTGTATTACAAAATAATAAAACTAAGAATTATGTAGTAGTCTATTTGTGTTTAGCAGGGATGTTTACGTCAATTTATGCCAATGTGGAATAAATTTACGTGAATTTGTCTCCATTCTTTCATTTTTTAAACAGGTAAAACTTACAGAAAATAGTACATGTGCTAGAATATGTGATGACAGTCACGCTATATCGAATGCCATACCATTCAGAAAACAAAGTTTTTGCATATAACACTACAATTGTTATCTCGAACGTTTTTTTTTTATGTGTATATGTTATATAACAATTATTCCATATAATAATGTAAGTATTTTAATACATTACACCGTTATATAACATATATCACATGTACAGTACACACACAATACCTAATAATCTTCCTCTGTATTTATAATTTTAAGCATACTTTGTATATTTTAAGACATATTTATTAGATAATAATAAACATTTTCTTTGTCTACAGCAACCATTAATGAGCTTATCTCCCAAAGAGAAGTTAAAAAATGCAGAAGTGACTGTTCTAGTACCTAAGAAGTTTGATATAGACGTAAACGAATTATCGATACCACCCCCACCCCCACAGAGAATAGACAGTCAACAGAATTACAGCTATCCTCAAGTAACGATACTTTCAGTGCCATGCTCGACTCCATTAAAATCCATCCTAAAATCACCAGAAACGAGACGAAGCACAGGAAGATCACCGACTCATCATTCTCATGTTGTTTATCAAACTGTTGAGACAGACATATAATCTCATTTTCAAATTAACAATGTACAAAAATATAGTTAATCATATTAAATTTATATATAAATATATATATATTTTTAANAATAAAACAGCTTAAAAGAAATAATAAATTAACAATACTTCGAGTGAAAATAAATTTGTAATATATTAAAAATTGGTTTTTAAACTAAAATGAGTATAACATATTTTGAAATGTTGTTTACAAAATATCAAAGTCCAACGCCAAAGAAATTGAAATTTATCCTTTACAAAAATCACAAATTAATTTTTAATCTGTGCTTAAAACTTGATTAAGAATGCAACACACAGAACAACAGAATAAGAAATGTAAGCATTTCTCCTCCCCAGAAATGGCATTCATTTTCAGAAATGTTTTCATTTTGTAAGTTTTTCATATGACTTACCATTTCAATGTAGAGTATATATAATAAAGAATTAATAAAAATTAAATATATAATTATATTCTTATATAACAAGTGATTAATTATTATGTTTTGCAAATCTGAATAGAGAAAAAAGTTTATTTTGTTGACTCCATCCTGCTCCATAGATTAATTCTATTAAAGGATCGGTTACGGTGTTACGTTAAGAGAGGCCTTATACAAGTAACTACTTGTGAGGCCTCTTTTATACCCTCGACTGTGGGCAGTAGTGCGTTATCCTGCGGGCAATTGCCTGGAGTTTCTATTAATACTTTAGAAACTATTTTATTATACATCAAGAACATAATTCTAATTCGCGAATCTTTTATAATGATTTTATCTTTCAAATACACGATAAAATAAGGTTATTTTTCTAGAAAAATTTGTTATTAATCTAGTTTTTAATATGGCATCACTTGTTAATATGAATGAAAATTCTAGATCATTATAGTTCTAGAAATAATTTATTTTGAATTGTCTACATTGCAATAGGATCACACTTAGACATTTATCAATAAAGATTAAAATCTGAGTAATCATTCAAAATTCGCGAGTCTTTTATCTGTTTTTTAAGAAACAGATTTTACTGGATCATCCGAGAATCGTCAGCTTTTAAAGACAATTTTTCAGGGAAAGAGAGAAAGTGATCTAAGATGGAAGGATAAATCAAAGATAAGTTATGTTTCAGCTGGTGTTTCCTCCGTCAATTTATCTTCTGAATTCATTTCTTGAGAAAAATATAGATTATCTCGTCTATCCATTGTTTGAAACATTGACGAATGGAGTGGTGAAAAAGAAGACAATGAAACACGTGGGCGATCTGCCAAGGTGTACCATTTCAAAGTACTGTACTTTTATTGAGAAACTGATCACTATTTAAGTGTTATACAAATACTTAGTAACTCGAGTAATTTCACGTGGTCAGGGGTGAAACCACGACCAGTGCTCAGTATTTATCCACTCTGCTATTTGTCAGATGAAGAAGAATGAAAGCAGATTCATTAACATCTGCAACATTCTAAGAAGAGAATGCCACGGGAATAGAAATTAATTCTGCTATTTACGATTTCGTAACAGCAGAATTAACGGTATTAACGAATTTTCATGTAATGTGATTCTTTAATAATTGAATTAAAATCATCTACAGTATTTAAAAGTTCGGGGTTCCTTCTGTATGTATGGATATTTGTGTGCGTTTGAGGGCACGATTTTGTTCGCCCTCTTTGAAGTTTAATAACTCCTGTGCTTTTTATCGAAAATTTCTGAAATTTTGCAGGGAGGTTTGTTTATTAGGGGAATCAATGCTGTTAAATTTTGGTGATTAAAGGTTGAGGTTGTGGGGAGATAATAGGGGGTCGTGTGTATCTCCAGTAGGTTCGGACTTAATGACGATTTTACTCGTTTTAATCATTTACGATATTTTATAAAACCCATCTCTACCGTCAAAATTAAGCTCTTTGACATTTTATAATAGTTAAAAATATAAAATGTTTTAAATAAAATATGATAAAAGATAGCACCACCAAATGCTGCCTAGAAAGTTAATGCTCTTTGCACCATCAACTCGTTGCTGACTTCTATTTAAGCAACAATTTGAATTATTGAAATATAATATTTTAAAAAATCTATCTATTGCAGACCCATGTTCCCAGGGAAATTTGTGGCAGGAAAAAAAATATGTTACGACAATGGACGCAAAAAAATGGAGTTGCATTTGGGCTAAGCCTATGGACATTAATTGGAAGAATTTGCTTGAATGTGAGGATTAATTCAAGTCACTCGTTACATGGCTGCCTGCTTACATGGTTATGCGCTTGTAAAAACAAAGTGTCGATCTCGTTTACCGTAAACAGAGCTTTAAAAGAAACCGAAAAATAAAATCTGGTTTTAAATTACCCATTAAATTATTTCGAAAAAAATTTCGAAATAATTTAATTAATGGGTGAAATTTTGTGTCGGCTCCAATTAAACTATTGCGCTTTTCACAAATCCCTCTTCAGCGCCATCGTTTACAGGGCAAAAGTTTTAATTTCATGCCTGAACAATGTCTGTAAATTAGCGCGCAGTGCTTAAAAGTCTTCACTCATGCGTGGACTTCAAATTTATTTCTATTAATTAACGTATTACATCAAGTTTATAATTATAAGCGCTATCCTATGACGACACATACTTAAATTAAAGCGGTGTGGCTCAAAGGCAAAAGACATAAAAATCGAAAACCAAGTTGAGCACGTGTCATCGTACCTAATTGGTATCCTTTATCGATACCGCCCAATATCTAGCGTGAAAAACGTTTTGTAATTAGTACAGAACATTTCAGGCAAAATATTAAACATATTTAAAAGTATCCACAGTAAAACAGTTTTAGAAGCAAGCAACTGTGCAGAGATTCTATCAGAGTTAAACTAGTCAGCGAAAGCATTAGTGATTTCATCACAACATTCAGTACAATGGTACCTCGGAACTCGAATTTAGTTCGTTTTTAGAGAGCATTCGAGTTTCGAAGCACTTTTTCCCATAAGGATTAATGTACAGGGAATTAAACCGTTTCCAAACCCCAAAAATGCCCATTTTAATCCTAAAAATAATGATTTAAGCTAAGATAACACAATTAAATGTTCTAATTAATGCATAAAACAATGAATAATCATAATAATAAATTAAAAACAATGAAAAAATTAAATAATGCAATAAAATGCAGGATATGAACTGAGAGTGGCTAAGCTCGTGTGATGGCCCGGACGGAAATCAATTTTGTGGATCCAAATGTTGGCAGTCAAACGCGATAATAAAAATCTCAGCTTTCAAAAAGGAATAAAGTAAAATTTAAAGGTCTCGATTGAACAAATAAAGTTTTTATATAAAATTTAAAACAAAAGATGAATTGTGTGGAAAACACCAAAGTCGAGGGAAACGTAGTTAGAGAGGAATCGTATTTAGTCGCGGAATTCACCTCTCCCGCGCCCTCCGAAAGGTTTCGAATTGTCACCAGGTGACGCGGGAGGCCAACAAAAGGTGGAATCGGGGGTGAAATCTCGACCGTCCCGACAATCGCACGCAGTCGGCAAACGTGTATAAACTGATTTAGAAAAGTAATGGAGTTTCGTTATTTGTAGAACAAAAAGAAGCAAGTGGCCCAAAATAAAAATTTACCCAATCTGGCAACATGTCACATCACACGGGTACCCGTACAGATATCATACCCCATACATTCATGGCTGGATGACCGAGGTAGACTACCGCTCTGGAGACACGGGTTCGAATCCGGACGGGCCGATAAATCCCCAGAAATTTTTCGGGGGCTGGTCCGACCACATATGTCGGGTTTCGTCCCTCACCACCCGGCCGCCCCATTGTGGGCCTGGCCGAACCCATAATGGGCTTGCTAAAAAAGAGACCCTCTTAAGAGAGGTCGGAAAGAGTAAAAAAAAAGGCCATACAGTAAGGTCGTCATTGATTGTGTTTGACTTCCAAGTTCGATTTTTGGGACAAAATCTCCTCGAAGAAATTGTTAAGGTTCCAAATTGTTTGACTTATGGGGCGTTCGAGTTTCCAAGGTGCCACGGTATTTATTAAGATGAATAATGTAGTCACCTATTGTACGTATATAAGCCTATTCTAAATTGGGACTAAGATAATAAAAATAGAAAATATAAGTTAAGATAACTAATCAGAGTGTTTAACACTAGCACATTTATAAAATACAGATTTCTTCAAGTGTTTTCTTGTGATAAGGATTAGAATGTATGTAAAAATAAATTTAATTCCAAATATAAACTATTCCACCGTGCTCTGATGCTGGTCTTTCTATCTTTTCCATTAAAAGTCTTAAATACAATCTTCGGAGTATTTTCATTTAATAATTTAAGCACTCCCGGTTCCCTGTGTTCGGCTCACAATTAATTCGAAATTTTTCTGCTTTGTTCTTAAAGTGGAATTTTCGTGTTAGACATTACACTTTTTAAAGCAGATTTTCAGCTTTAAAATTCTATTCACTAAAATGTCTGTTTTGCTCGCTATACTACTTGAAGTCATCTGTAATTCATGAAACTGGTGACTATATTTAACTCGATACAAATGGTTAGTCCAATTTCGGGACTAACCATGTAAGCTGGCAGTACGACGACTAGAACAGATGGTGGACCTCCCTACATTTGAAAATAGCATAATACTGTATACCAGATGTGTTGACGACATTTAAATTTTTCGGAATCGCCAACTCCCACTCCAGGAATTCCTAACGACTATCAATAATAATTTACATCCGCTCTGAACAAAAAAAGTGCCTTTCAAGTATACTTCTTGGCTATCCTAATCTATACACAATGAATCTCTCGCTATCGATGACTACAGGAAAATACGTACTACCCTTATTCCCACCGCCAACGTCCCGTGCTTACAAGATAACATCGTTCAGAGCACTTATAAAAAAGAGCAAATACTCATTGTTCTGACAAGCATTCTAGGTATGAACAGTTCCAACGTATTAAGCGCATTGCCACTGCCCTAGGCTACTTGACAAATCAAAGGCCTTATCTGGAGATATATTACACCATCAAAAGGGTGTCATGTGACACATCATTTAGAGTCAGAATTTCAAA